CCCAGTCGTTTGGCGGTTTTTGGTGGGAGCATCTGGCAACACTGGTCCTACTGTGCCGGCAAACATGCATGGAGAATAGAAGGGTAGGAGAGGGCATGACGTCGGCCGCGTAGCCTCCACAAGCCATGCTCCCTTGACGCCTCGCCTCTTTCTCATTTTCCTCCTTACTCTCCTCACTTACCATGCCAACGTGACCACATCACGTGACCGTAGCTAGACTTCGTCTTGCTGTGGGGTACTAGAATACACCACAGTCTAGACTTCGACCCGATAAAACCTACCGGACGGAGCGCGCGCAAGCCTGCAAGGAGTCCTTCTACAATCAACCATCCATCTCACACGTGACATGTCACGCGCACCAATCGCCAGAGAGATCAGCGGTCACGCTGGGCACAAAATTGTTTAAACTTTTTATGACTAGGCTTCACCAATATTGCAACGTGCCCCCTCCTAGTGCTTCTAACCTCCTTGCAAACATGTGTGTTGTCCCGCTCTTCTGCTGACATGCGACCTTACTGACATGGCACCTAAAAAGCTTGACACGGCGCAATGCGGCGCAATGCCGCAGGCGGTATATCTAGTTTCGGAATGTGTAGCAGACTACTCTGGTTAAAGCACTGGATGAGGTATAACTCTGGTCAGCCGCCAGCGCCATCTCCGAGGCGGTATTACGCGCCCGATTCCGAGTTAGGCGCCCCGCCGCAGGAAAGCGGGAAAACACACATGTTTGCCAGTACGGTAGGACGCGCATGCGCTTTTGTGTGACCTCGAAACCAGGCGACTCGCCGGCATATGCAACGCGTTTCAGGCCGTACTTCATTCGCAGCTCGCGCGTCCTGGGGACTTTTGTCCTCGACTGTACCTTTTTTCCTGCGGCACTGCGTTTTCGTAAGTATCTCCACGTGTTTTCAACGGCAATTATCACGCCTCATTCAAAATCTTAAAGAACGTCTTTGGCGAATGACGACGAGAGAGTAGGAAACGTGTCTTAAGCACGCTGCCGCCGGGCTCTGCAACGCTAGCAGAACGAGAAAAAACTGCATGCAAAGATGGTCGTCCGGTGGCCGCACTCGCGTTGCAGCGAACAAGCTGCTGGGCAGAGCCAGAGGGCAGCTCGAAGCTCGCCCTCCCGCGGCGGAAACGGGAAGCGCTCTAGTGAGGGTCCCCCGATTCTCCTGCTCAGCGGGCACGACGGAACTGCTCGTGATCATGGCTCGCAAAATGTCATTTTCGAATGCAAACATCACTTTTCACTGTCCCAACGTAGTGCTGCAGCCGGTATGGGATTGTACCTTACTGGAGAGTTTATGTATTACGCATAGAAGCAAACGCAAGCGGTGTGCGTTTGCGTTAGAGTTGCAAGTGCCACGTTCTGCGTGCGCCTCGTCGCCATGCGCCATTCAAGACGGCAATTTTTGGCTCCGCGCACGCGCAGTGAGGGACACGCAAAGCTAACACAAACACACAGCACTTGCGTTCGCTCGTACGCAATATTAACACTCGCTACTGTTTCACCGGCTTCCAACGCCAACGAAACGTGCTGCAGTTATCAGACGTGCAAGCAAGTAGGCGTTCCTTCAAACTGGAAAGGCTGACATTGGAAAAAAACGACGGAGCGCCAACATGAAAGTAACTAAATGTTACAAAAATATTAATATATATATATATATTTAAAAATCTTTTGGGCATTTGGTTTGGAAGAATATTTGCGGCGACTTACGTCTTGCTGATTGTCAGAAGTCGCGACCTTGATACAAAAATATACTTTAACCAGAATTAATGTAATTTCACATGGATTTCTCACAATAGCTATAGTCGGTTGCAAGCTAAGAAAAAACCGGAAATGCTTCTCAGAGGAAACTGTAATCCTACGCCGAGAAACGCCAGCCAATCGTTTTCATGACGTCACGATTCCGTGGACCGATCGCGATCCTTTTGAAAAAAAAAAAAAAAAGCTCAACATGGCTGCTGGCCTTAGCAACGCGACGCTAGTTTCTCGTGACAATTATTCTGCTTTTTGCACCGTGTTTTACGTGCCCGAGGTTACGCCACGAAATCTTAATGGTATCAGCTTGCGTTTGCAGCAGTTTTTGCGCGACAACGTGAGAATCCAGCGACGCTATCGCCAACGAAAATTTCGAAGCGGGCGCGAGGCTTAGCACTGCTGAGAAACTTAGCACTGCTCGCTGGCCGCTGTTCAAAACTCGACCTCGCTTGTGCTTCTTGAAGAACCGCTTTGGTGTCGCCGGTAAGGCTGCGCCAGGCTGTTTCGTCCAAGAAGAATCAGGGGAATCGCTTTCCGATGTCACCTCAGTGGGATCCATGACGGAAGACAAAGAGAGCGGGGCGCGGTGGTGGTGTCGATGACTTGGGAGGGTACCGATTTGTCAAAACCCGAAAAGTATAATTATTCTTGTTTTCTATTCATCCAATAAAATAAAGGCACACATTTCGTGCGCAAAGCCCACAAAACTAAGTAAATCACTAAATATTTATCATTTGCAGGAACTATAAGTGCTTCGCTTTCCCTCAATCGAAGGCGCTGGAAGACGGTATGTTAGACAGTATCTTGGACAGAAAATGAATTGGGAAGACGGTACACTGGACATGACTTTCTTTCTTTACTAAACAGCTACTTCGTTGACAAAAACGTATTCTAACTTATTTAAATGTCCTAAATGAATTAAATAAATATTGTAGTAGTTTAAGACACGTTTCCTGAAGGAAGAAAAAGCAACGTTGCTAGCGAACTACTTCCCGACGGCGGAGGCACTTCAGATGGGCGCATGAGCTTGTGGGTGGAGCTAAAAGATTGTTCTCAGGTTGCATCCGACTATAGAATGTTTTCATTGACTTCGGACTCCTTTTATTTTATTACTCGGTAATTAAAAATGCTGCAATTGGCACCAGTGATGATAATTAGCAGAATTTTGCTTGTCATATTTGTTGGCGCGTTTGAAATTAGATCATGAGCAACGCTTGAAAAATTACGTATTACAATATCTGAATTTTACTATTATTATTAATACCAATCGCGGCAATCTATGCCCCCAATTAACGCCGAGATCACGGAAATGCGCCATTTAACCCTATTACTCTATCCAGAAAGTATAATTTTGTTTTCTTTTTAGCATACGAAAATCTCTGACATCGTTATAGAGATAGACAAACAGTCAAACACTGGATGTAATATAAGGTCCTATGCGTCACGCGTTGCTATAAAAAGCACACACACTTCAGGTCTGACTCGGATCCCGCCTTTGGGCTGTCGAAGTGAGAACAGCGTTGATTAATTTATACGTTTTGTGGACATTTGTAAAAATTGAAGTTCTATTATTCCTGTGCTGGGAATGATGTTAAACCAATTAATCGTCTAAACACCGAAAAACCCATTAAAAGGCCCACAGTTCATTATTTCGCATGACAATTATCTGAGCAAGAAAGGCAGCGAGAAAGCACAAATATCAGCACTGATTTTTTCAACAACTACAAATATCAGCCTGGATCAGACATGTATGCCACAAAAAATAAAGTTTCCGCGAACAACTTCTGTAAGTAAATAATTACGATGTGAGACACATCTTTAATTATGAAAGAATCCGAAATTAAGACCTATATCGAGAAATTAAATCCAAAATAGAGGCTAGTTTCGGTTTCGCTCCATAATTAAAACGCACATCCTTACGTAAATATTACGCTAAACACCGTTCTTGTTTTCAGGATAGAGAGGTGACCTGCGCCCATAATACCGTAGCTTCCTCGTATTACCAGAAATGATTTGTTTCACTCAGTGAAGCCAGCACACTACACAGGCTCAACTGGCTCAACAGCCGGCACGGATCTCCGACCCTCACTATAACCGCCATTTTGGAAAATGAGTGGCGCCACCTATAGTTATTTGGAGTCGCGAATAGCTCCTACGGAGCAGAGTAGCGCAATCCTTTGAACCCCGTGTTTTGCCGACAACATGGCCGACAGAGCGGCTCGGCGCGAGTCACGTGGTACTCAGGGTTCCAGGAGGCGGCCCGCCCTATGGGAGAATACATGGAGATCAACATAACACGGCTGATTAAAAAACTAACGGCGAGTTCACATCTTTCAAAACTAGCCTGTCGTGAAGTTAGTAAAGCGCTAAACACTTTATTAAAGTTTTAATAATATCGGATGAGTGCGCAAATTTTGAGAAGGCAATTGCCAAGGCAATGGCGTTTGAAGCAGACGATTTTTGCTCGCAGCGGAGATGGGCTTTTCGGCAGGGGTGGGCAAGATACTTCGAAATGGTATCTTCGATACCGATACTCGATACCCTCGAAAATTGTATTTGAGATACCGATACAAGATACAGATGCAAAACTAATCTCCGATACAGATACTGAATACTGTATTTTAGATACCTCGATACATCGCTAAAACCTCATCCGAAGTACTTTAAAATGGGTGTATCTTATTGCTTTAGATTAATTAACAAAGGTATTAGTTGAATTCTTGTGTTTGTTATATTGCGTCTTTTTTTCAAACGTTTACACAAAGGTGCAAACCTCCGTAAAAATATTGCAGCCAAGAGAGCAGCGAGGTATAAAGATACACGCTATTTCAAATCCACAGAATCTACCAAACCAAAACGTTCTGTCTATAATTGAGTTTTAGTCTCCGCAAGTTTTTTTCAGAAACACGGACTATGTGGTGTTAACGAGTTATAGTAGATCGTGTTTTCAGGGAAAGATACTTGTATTGGGAGCTCGCGCTGCCACATCGAAGCATGCTCTCAAGCGCGCGCATGGAATGGTATCGATCCAATGAAAACGATATACTGAAACTCCCTACTGTCGCTGTCGGGGGCTGAAGCTCGAAAAACAAATACAGGCATTGAAAGAATCAGGAGAGCGTGTTGGTTAAACATTCATGAGGAGGATTTAGAACGCAAGTAAGAAGAAGGGACACAGAAATATGAGACAGACATGGCAGTCGGTGTCTGTCTCGTTTTCATATTAGCCCCTTGAGTTTACTTGCGTTCTGAATCCTCAAGAAATGACAGACACTTTTAGATAGACGTACAAGTAGGCAGCAATTTAGCACCATGTTTTGCGTCTTTTCGTTCTGGTCGCTTTATTGTAATATTGTCGCGCAAGAGCTTGCTGCCGTTTTTGCCGCCCTGGCGGTTGAAAAACCCTTCGGTCACGATGGCACCCGTGGGACCGCAGCCTTAAGCAGAAGCATTTGCTCAAAACGCCGGTCTGAAAGTCCGCCACGATGCGGGCGTAAGATTAGCGACGCGAAGGAGAACAGCCGTTCTACAGGAGCCGAGGAGCACGTTGGGGTGTTGTATCTAATGAAGGCGCTTCTCAGAGAAGGGTATGAGCGGAGCATATCGAATTCAACTCGAGGATCTTGCAGGTAGCTCAGGAACTCAAGTTTAACTTGATCTTCCTGACAACTGGGGCTCGTGCCGCAGTGGGCTTCAAAAGAAAAGCATGCATCAGCCGATACGTCAGAGGCTGCAGAGGTTGATGGCGCGCACGCCAAAGGACGCGTGGTATGCTTGGTTGCATTTACAAAGTCAATTACAGCTTTTTCTGTGAGTTGCTGGCCATGCTCGCGGACATCTTGAGGTTCTCGCGACAACCACCGCAACTTAAAGTAAGGGTGAAGAACAGCAGCAACAGTCGCTTCATTTGCACTTGGTTTCATTCGCAGAAGCTCGTCAAATCTGCGAATGAACCCAGATGTAACCGCATCCAAAAGTGGTCTGCAGTAGACGAAGTCCATACCAGCCTTCTCCTGAAGCTTTGATTTTACGGTAAAAAGCGTTGGCAGCAGCTCCCCGAAGAAGCAATCGGACTGCGCTTGGAGTCGCGTCAGAGCGGAGGCGATGGGCTGCAGGATCTCACAGTACTCGGCAATAAATGCTAAGTCTCTTTCTTGGAATGTCTGCAGATTTAGTCCATCGCAGACATCTCGCAGTTTATCCTTCGAGCGAAGGAGGTCTTTCATGCTGTCATACAATGAATTCCAGCGTGTTACGCATGGCGTCTTCAGAGAATGCCCTAGGATGTCCACAATAACTTCAGACGACTTGGGTCTTCGAACGCAGTTCCATAGAGCCGAACACTTTGACATGACCGCTGTGTTAGCACGTTCAAAGGACGGTGTCGACAAGGCTGCCTTCGCATCTGAAGTTGCCACGAGACTCAGTGTGTGACATGCGCATCGAAGATGACGAGGCAAGTTGATTTCAGCATCGTCCAGGTTGTCGGGTTCGACCATAATTTCAAAGGACAAGTCGGCGGCGAAATCATCTGCCAGTTAAAAAAGGAACACATTTAGCCGAAATACTTAAAACAGCACTCAAGATTACATGTTTGGAAACATTTTACGGTGAATATTACATATTCATTGATACTAAAAGAAAAACAGTTGTGCAATAATCAAAAACACTCTCGTTTGCATTAGCTCCAGTGGCTTCATCTTCAATTATTTGTATTGCGTATCAAAAGAAGAATTATATGTATCACAAAAATTAAGCAAGTCAGCTGCACCAGACAAGAGGAAAATTAGAATCGGTGCATAACTTGACGGATATTTTTCACACTTCTTGCATTTGTAATCGCACGTTACCCACTTGGGTTTAGGTTATTGAGACAGACGTAAATCAGTCCTTAAAAAATCTGAAAAAATGTTTGATAATAAATACAGCATTACCCTTACCCTGGTCAGTATTCTCAGAACAAAAGCCGAACTCCCTGAAGGCTTTAGCGAAGTTGCTGGCGTTGTCTGTGACCGTGGCTACGACCTTCTCCCGCGAGATGTCGAAGGACTGCCTAATGTCTTCCAGCATTTCTGCTATCCTGTCGTACGTGTGGCTTCCAGGAAACGTCCTGCAGGCCAGTGCGAGCGACCTCCGATAAAGGGTGTCAGCATCGATCTAAATAAATATGCAAATATTATCATTCATTAGTTACTTAATCATGATTTTCCACAACTTCTACTTTTTAATACAGAATATGTTATAGGAATGGCCTCAGGCACTTCCGGCGACGTCTTCTAGGTAACGAAGGTGCGGAACACGAAAATTGAAATAAAAAAGACACCGGCAGCGCTCCGATACGAACCAGCGTCCCTCAGATTATGAATCCGATGTCTTTTAAACACTGAACTACTAGGGACTTTTTTACGAATCTATGACCCTCATACTGTGAATCCGATGTCTTAACCACTGTACTACCGCTCTATGAGGAAACTATATGCTTCGATTCACCTTATACGTGGGCGAAGCATAAAATCTACGTGACCTACGCGTTCCACTCCCGCTCGAGCGCTACTTTTGGCAGGGCTTTCTTCCGGAGACGCTGTTTCCAGCAAGCTGATGGAAGCTCCCCAAAATAATGCGTACACATTCTGTGTTACCACTGCCTTTGCCACGGCAGTGAAGGAAAGGGACACATTTTGTTTTATTCAAAACACAATGCGCTTACCCAATGAACCGTGACACCCATGAAGCTACGATGGTGAGTGGACCAGATGTCAGCTGTGGTTGCAACATAGCTTTGACCAGACAACTTCTCTCGCGCGTCATCCAGAAACTTTTCCCATTCCTCATCAATTCGCCGACCTAGGGAGCGTCGCGACATCACACTAGTCCCTGGGCGCAAGCCCAAAATAGAAAAAGAGACAATGTACAATTATAATGCAGTCTGATTTCGCATAGAATTGAAAGCTCACCTGTTACAAGCTGTATGAAGCCTGGCTCTTCGACTGTCGATAATGAATGCAACCCATCCACAACGAACTTGACGATCAGATTGTCTACTTTAGGCTGAGTCAGTTGACTCCCGGGAGAGCAAAACAGTTTCGTTTGGCGCATTTTGTCAGCAGGGGCGTCGGCCTTTCTCTTGACTGCTTGTTTTCTCCACCCTTCTTTGTACTCATCGAACCTTCTTAGCTCTTGTGGATGCACGCGCTGAAACAAAATAAGTATCGATTAATTATATAGCCGCCACACAAGTAATATCACACAAAGCGTACTTCCGTAAGCTATGCAAATGCACCGTTTTGATACATAAGACAGCACTGAAAAATTAGATACATATAGATACACTCTGTTCGACTCAATGCATTTCTTGGCATGTTACAAGTAAACAAAAAATCTAATTTATGTTGATTCTGCACTTACCTTTAAGTGAAGCTTGAAATTCGAGGTTGACGAGTAGGCGCCACAGATGGTCGCTTTACAAAACGAACAGGCAGCCTTTACTCTGTCGTCCCTAGATGAAATCACGGTAAAATACTTCCCGTCCAAGATGGCACAGCGAGGAGTATTGTCGTTGTCTGCCATTGCTAGCCCGTCGACGCGGCGGAACAAATAACTTTCAACTCCAAGACTGGGACTGCGAAGTGCGCACCATACAGTCGGAAATATCAAGTGAAGTTCCGCGGAAAAGAAAACCAGGGACAGAGCTCAGCATGGCCGCCTAGCGTTTTGCAGACGGCGCCCTCCTGTCTGGCTCCTGTAGTGCTCTGGGCGGCCGTGCAACCCGGGTTTGCTATAGACACACACAAAAAAAGGAGAATGCCCGTGCAGAGATTACGAAACCGCTCGACTTTCTTTCGATCGTGTTTCTTTGTTTGTTGTTTTAGCCGCGGACACAAGATTTGTTTACTTGATGTTGTCTTTTCGGAGGCCTTCTATGCTCTAGCTTCCCCTGAACAAGAGTGAAAGAAAACGCAGCTTCGATTTAGAAGCGCACTTTTGCAAGTATCGGGTATTTTTACAATACACGATACTTTCAAAAAGTATCTTCGATACCGATACTTCGATACATGTTTTTCTGGCAAGCGATACCAGATACAAGATACTCAACTGTATCGAAAGATAGTATCGAAGATACATGTATCTTCGATACTGCCCAGCTCTGCTTTTCGGGTTGGCCGGAGCGGGTCACGTGAATGGTATGACGTCGCCGTGTCGTCTGCTGCATGATGCCGCTCAGGCAATTTTTTAAATAAAGTTACGTCCTTGTATGGCACAAAACTTATCGCATATTATTCTAAAATGTTTCATTATTATGTCAAAAATGATTTCCATTCCGCACATCCCCACAAAACTGAAGAAACAACGATTTTCTCACGTTCTCCATGCATTTCTGACCGCAGTTGGAACCTCCGGGCGTTCGCCGCTAGTCGCCGAGAGACGGCGTTCTAGATTGCGCTACTCTAGAGTTCCTGTATATGCTACCAGCCTATACAGGAACTCTACGCTACTCTGCTCCGAAGGAGCGGCAACCTCGTTGAGGAGCGGAGCCGTAAATGAAGCTGGCTGGGATGTGCGACCCATCAATCGTTAGGTCTGTTCGATTTGGCCAGAAAGTTCTGAACTAGTTCTGCCCGAGTTCAGAGGAGTGCAGGAGTCGTGCAGCGGCGGCGCAGAACCAGTGCAGCCGCCGCGCTAGGACTGGCGCTGTGATCGGCTTTCCGAGCGGAAGCGCAGGGTGTCGTCTGCATCTGTTGGCTCTTGTTTCCAAACGCAAAATTCCGATCCAACTGATATTTGCAGTTGTTGTAGTTGCTGAAAAAATCTGTGCTGATATTTGTGCGTTCTCGCTGACTTTTCTCGCTCAGATAATTGTTATGGGAAATAATGAACTGCTTGTCTTTGATGGGTTTGTTCGTGGGTTGATGAGACAATTCGTGTTTCCTTAGTTTTAAAGTATAATAACAGAACCTTTTCTGTGAATATTGTTTATTCGCGTGCACTAAAAACGTTTTCTGCACGAAATGTGTTTCTGTCTGCATTTTTAACGGCCGTTCGGTTCCTCTCATTTCCATAACCGCTCGTGTCCTTCACATTCATTTAGCAATAGTAGATTCATTCCTAGTCTCTCGAGTGTCGCATTTCTACGATATGTTCGCGGCATCGGGATGATTTTGCGTCGGGAGTCACTGGCGGCAGCGCGCTGTCGGTAGCGGTCACCTCGAAGACGAAGGCCTGACGATAGCGTTTTGGCCAAGACAGTTATCGACCGTAACTATGGCGTCAAGCTAAAGCGTTTATGGTGATTCTCAAGAAAGAACTGCATAAAACTACCAAGCCAATGCCGATTCTCGGTGTCGTTTTCCCCAGGCACGTTAGTGGGCGTCCAGATACCAGCGGACAAAGCACGTAGTATTATGCTCAGCTACGGGGCATGCGAGGGCTAATGTACCTAATCCCAGACCTCTGCAATGTATCGGAGTCGTCAGTACGCATCCAAGAGCAACTGAAGGCGGGGACTATCAAGAGTGCAATACCTTTCCCGTGTCGGTAAGGAAGAATATCAACACTGTGCATTCCCACATAGCATCAAAAACAAACAATTTTCGTGATCCAGTATTTCAACACTTACCACAGGGAGCCAAACCTAACGAGCAGGTGCCTAAAACGCTTTCAGAATATTATAATCAATCAAATTCCTAATTGATCTCAATTCCGTGTCCACCGCGGGTACCTTATTATCATAATTGGGAGGAAATGCAACGTCCGTATCGGCGTTATCGGCGTTAAACATCGCAGACATTTGAGCAAGAGCTGCGAAAAATGGCACCGCGAGCAGAGACGGACGAGGAGTGTCGTCTGCTATCGCCGTCTGCTCTTGTCGTCTGCTTCTGCACGGGCGTTGAACTGACTCTGGAGCCGGTGCGAGATTTTGAGGAACTGGGTCTGAACTAGGGGTGTCGCGAACCAGCCGAGGTTCGAGTTCGACCAGGTTCGACTTTTTCGAACTTTTGGTGAAAAATTCGACGAACCTTGTATTGAGGTTCGACTCGTGTGCGCATGCGCCACAGGCTGGCCAGTTGGCTTCGGATTGGATGGTGATGGCTAAGGAATGAATTTAAGGCAGCGCTGATTGGTTATTTTAGTTAATACAGTACAAAAAATTAAGTCATTAACTTCTTTAGTGATTAGAATTAGTTTCTTTTAATCGCAACTGTTTATAAAATAAAATAACCCTTTTCATAAAAAAACAATTCTCCAAACTTAGACATGCTTGTATCAAGGTCTGGCCACACTGTCCACAAAGTCGAACCTGTCGAATCTGGTGAAAAGTTTCGAAGGTTCGTCGAACCGGTTCGACCCAGTCGAACCCCGAAAGTTCGACCTAAAATTCTGGTTCGACAAAAGTTCGCGACACCCCTAGTCTGAACCTACCTCGTTGGTCTGAACCAGTGGTCTGAACTCGTTCAGAACTGGGATGAATCGAACGCGCCCGTGCAGCGGCCGGGCAACTTCCGGTTGAATCGAATGCACCAGTTCCTGCACTGCTGAACTAGTTCAGCCCGTTCAGCCAGTTCAGGCGAATCGAACAGACCTCATGTTGGGATCCAAAAACCTCCTTGTTGAGATCAGTGCGCACGCCAGAATCCTGACTAAAATACAACCATGCGATTATCAATTAGAGGTTTAGTTTATCCTAATCAACTTATTTCTTTGTTTTCTATATATTTTTATTTAATTAATTATCAGTGAATTTACCAAGCAACGCTACCAAGGACTCTATCAAAGCCAATCCAAGGTGAGCCGATTCAATCGCCAAGCCAGTGTACGTCAAGCGCGCTCTGTGCGGTTGTGTTGGTTGCTGAAGCCGTTTTGCTGTGCTTTCGTCGTAACCTCTGCTACTGTGAGCTGTTGAAAGGTAGGATTCGAACTCTTGCTTCTAAAACACGTAATTATCCTCTCACGGTAATAGGGATCGCCGGCACTTTGACGTCAAATGGCCTTCCGACGACGATGATCATCCTGGTGAAAATCGGGGCTTTGTTATTCGATCCACGATGCTGTTTCAACGTGCCGATCTTCCAGATTGTCTGTTACTCCAAGTTGTACTTAAACGAATAGGTAACCGCGCGCAAGCGGGTTTCACTTCCATGTTCTCAGGGCCTCTTTAAGACGTAGCAATCTCAGAAGAATATCACTACTTATCATTTTGAAAGAGTTTTACTAATTTTGAAAACGAAGGTCTCTTATGCAATGGATGAATGATTTAATATAACTTTATTGGTAGATTAGGGAGGAGACTGACTACAAGTGTGGACGAAGCGGAAGTCTCAAACGCGTTTCTTCAGTTTTTTTCTCCACTCGCGGTTGCTCTCGGAGATAAAACTGCAACGTCAGATATGAGGTCACCCGCCAAACTCTGCATTGCAGATTGTGTCAACTTCCACTTGGAAGGCTACAAACTTGAGGTCTATATCCTAGCAAAGGATAGTATCTTTATTTTTGCTTGCCAAAATTGGAACACCAACAATTGGCATTGTGCTCTCCGATGGCTATTTTTCGGGCGCTTGCTAGAAGCAGCCGTTTGGAGCGAAAAATATAGCCATCTGTTCAAAATTCAAATATATGATTGCCATTAGCGCATTTCATTGATCATGTTCAAGTTATTTCTTAACGCTAGATGTATATCTCAGTTTTCATTTCACTATCCCTCTAAAAATGGAAGAGGCTTTATCCAATCCTTGTTTGCCTGTTTTCATGTCATAATCCCATCAAGTTAGAAACAGTGTGAAAGCTGCATGCTATATAAAAAAAGAAAACCAAAAAACTTACAGAAAAAAATTTTGTGTCTTTATGACAGTCGAAAGTAAACATATTCGGCAGTAAGAAGCTTGGTTGGGGAAAATTTAGATTAATTTTGAAGACGACCAGGTTAGGAGCTGCTGCTGCTCCCCGTGCTTTCAGTCACCCTTGAAGAAGAAACTGAGCTGGTTTCAAAACGTCGGGTTTTCCTTTCAAGGTTTGCTTGGAGCTATATTTTTTGTACTTTATGACAGTGTGCCACTTTTTAGGCTTAGTGCTGTTTGTAGAAGCATCGAAATAAAGAGTATCATATTCATTGCAAGCCTAAGAATCGCCGCACAGGACGAGTCCCGGACGTCCTATTATCAATCTGCAGCCAACGAGCTTGCAACATTAGCCCATCAGAATGCTAAAGAATGAATTTAATTTGGTTTTTATTATCCCTAAATCAGTCATACCTGGCCTTCACATCACATAGGAAGAAACCTGTACATAATAACAATGCCCCGTGTTTCTTAGGCTGTTTGTGACTAGTTTGGAAACGCAGCATACATCCTATCTATGAGCATGCACCTATACCTTATGTCACTAGTTGTGTGCAGGGGGGGCAAAGGCAACGTGAGTAGAAGAGAGAAAAGGCGAGCGCTAGGGAGGCGGGACGGGGAAGGAGAGCACTGGAAAGCGAGGGTCAAAAGGGAGAGCACTAGGAACGTTATCGAGGAGAGGAGGTTTCTCCTGTTCCCCAGCCTTCCTAGTGCTTGCCCTTTCTCCCCTCGCCTGGCATTGCCTTCGCCTGTACTGCACGCAACTAGTGACACGGAGTATACACTTCCCGCGATTGAGGCATGTCCATTGAATTAGAGTGCCTCAATGTTGCCTCCTGGCTGCGCCTTGCTAGAGTGGCGACTTCCTTTGGGGAGGGCAAGTGCCGCCTTTTCAGTCACAGCCACCATTTCGCCTTCCGTGATGCATTGACCGTGAGATCGGTGGATCGGCTTGCACCTGGGAAAATGCCAAATTAAAAACTACTCGTTGAAATCTTGATAAATTATACCGAGTGGTGGCTTTTTCGTCTCCGTAACGCAACGAAGCGTCGGAAATGCAGTCCTCTATACAATGCTATCGTGTTTTCATTAGAGGCGACACGAAAAAGAAACGCTTACTGGACAGAGCGCATGGTGTTGCGTGTTCTTAAAGGGAAGATGGGGCACTTCTAGATTTGAGAAAAAACGCTTGAATTGCGTTCATTTGGCCTTTAGAATAACAGATATCACAATTATATTTCAATGCGGCGCGCCGGAGAGCCATACGAGCAATTTGAAATTAGGGCTGAAGCCCCACCTCCTTAGCCTTGGCAAGCCAAAAGATCCGTCGATGATGTCACGTACAGCGACTGTCTTTCGCGTTTTTCTCCCGTTTCACAATACTTGCGCGGCAAAGGGTTTTGGTATTCGGGTTCACGAGGTATAAAAACACTAGAATTCACTTCTAACTCATTTTTTTCAAGAAGCTCCGTAGCTTCCCTTTAAGGTTGCCCTGCGTCATTTCGCGCATGGTAACGCTCAGTAGCTGTGTAAGCGGATTGCAAATGGGCTTGATATGAGTCGGAGACAGATCGGCAGCTCTGCTAGCAGACCACAGAGTTGTCCCCACTCTTGGAGAGGAAGCAAGCCCAGCATCATTTAGGCGCTCTACGTTTCATTGGTGTTATTGTGTCACCCATTGGCCATTTCCCGATTCGCAGGCCTCCTCCCTGTTTGCAGCTAGGCATGGACGGTTCCCCGAAGTGGTACCAGAACCCCCTGTTTGACCGGTACTGGCACCACTACCGGGAGACTCTCGGCTGGTTCCAGCGGCACAAGCAGGTCCTGTACGAGCTCGAGCATGGTGTCGAGAGCTCGTGTGAGTGGCCCTTCTCTCCTGGCATCATTAATGCCTGCTCACACGTGCTGCGCAGCGGTTGCTCACCGCTAGAAACACAACGCCTACTTTGCGCCACATCTATGCCGCATTGGTGCTGCTCTACATGTGTTATGACCTTTTCCTGTTTACACATGCTATGTAGTGCTAACTCGGCGCTTGCGCCGATGTGGCGCTGGCATCGCAGCTATCTCGGCACTGCGCTGCATGTGGGAACAGGCCTTTACAGTGACAGACGAGCATGTTTCCGAAAAAGCGGTGATCACGGGGGTCCTTAAATTGACTGGCAAGTGGCGTTGGTTATATGTAGGGTTTCCTATTTTCAGTATACGGTGATGTCTCGTTGGTATAAGTGCCTTCGTTGCCCCTAAAAGGCATCCCTAATGTGAGTTGTCCATAATAATGAGACAAAAATGCACATATTTACGCAGTCTATCCCCGGAAATGTCGTCGGTTTAGACCTTTCCAGCGGCAGTCTCGAACAAAGCAATTTACAGCGTGCGTCTCTTGTTTTGAGAGTGTAGATCAGTGTTGCCGGACTGCACTGGACTGTGGGTTTTCTTACCAGTAGGATGTGGTAGCCTGCATAGGCACAATTCCATACACCGATGGTGGCTAAATTGCTGCGTTTTATTGCTTCTTTTGTGTTTTATGGCAAATAGATTTTCTGGAGGCTTTTAAGAAAGCATTGTTCTATTCTCTGGAAGAAAAACAAGCGAACGAAAGCTATTTCTGATGAGTCCGTGGCAATTTTTCACTATGCCATACACTCGGCCGTATTAATGTACAAAGGTCTTAACTGTCGAAAATACGTGACCACACAAGATATCCGAAAGGCGTGGCTCACCGCTTACAACATAAAATTGAACAGGTCTCATCAACTGAAGAACAGATTGTGCGTATCCCTTGGTGCCACGTTACCCGAAAAGGGTTTACAGCCTTAGCTCGTTATAACAGACCTTAATTTTGACAAAGATTTCGGTCTGTCATAAAAGGAGTATGTTGTATGCAGATATGAAGTTGGGTCAATGGTGCATGGAGGAAAACCAATTGAACTTCACAAATCGGTATGTTATATCCAAATGTCTGTTGTAACCAGGTCTGTTGTAATGAGCTTAGACTTATTTGAGATTATATCCAGTCTACGGTTTAGCCAGTCTAGTGTCGACGACAGTCACCTCACAACGATCGACGAAATCCGGACTTGTTTTAGGCCATGTTTCGAGGAGAGCTTGTTTTGTAGTGTAAGCTGCACTGGCTGAGGTTGAGCAGTTTTGTGTGTCTTCTGGAGAGCCGTGCTGCGCATGCGCGAGGAGCAGTGATGGAATGGGCAAGACTGGTATGGCGCCTAGGTCAGTCCCTGATGCACGCGCCGCGCGCATGCACCCGCTCGAGATTGTGGCTCGCACTGTCCGGTTGTCCTGGGCGGCAGCTTGGTTGCTTGATACATAACAACACGGCGCACAGCTGGCGCAAAAAAGTCAAATTTGGGGGTTGTACGTGCAAAACCAACGACGGGCATCTGGCACGCCCCAGCGGAGGACTGAAGATTAATTTGGTCCACCTGAGGATCTTTTGACGTGCAACCGAAAGCTCGGTTACACGGCGCCTCCTCCGCAATAAGGAGAGCGGAGAAGCTCAACTCATTGGATCCCGAAGTAGTCACATAATGCGTATACCTGTGTGTGTCATTGAAGCAGCAGTAAGCATGATAATCAAGCTAATCCTAGACAACCAGGAAAGCTAAGAATAACCAGCTGAACCTAAGCTTACGCTACGTGTATCCTGGCATAGCCGAGCGAAGCCACTGCAATTTTTTTGCACAGCACTGAAGCGAAGGAACGGACGAGTCTGTTCCAGCCCACACCCCGCATCCGTTCAGCTATTTTTTGCGAAGACCACGCAGGCTTTTCAGAGATTATTTTCGTAAAGACAGTTTTTGGCCGACTTTTGCTTTTTTTAGTTTGTTTGCCGCGAAGGCCTAGCAAGCTACCAGCCCTGATATTTCCTGGTTCTCACAGGCGAAGATAACCCAAAATGGTGAGCACTCCGAATAGGAAAATAAAGTGAAAACTTTCAAAAAGGCCTGGAAACTCCGAATTCAATGCAGATGTCATGTCGCGCTGCCGGAGAGCTCTTTTTAGAAAGGTCTATAGCAGGATATTCATATTAACGGGGTGAGTAATAATGCGGCATAACCGTACACCGAAAAACCCTGTAAAGTAACCTCCTGATTCGGTTTTACCAAAACTCGGGAAAACCATGTACTTCTAGTAATTGTGCTGTTCGGGTCAACGCAACTTCGGGGTTAAGTTATCTTTGATTCAGTGCACTTTGGCCCATGTAACATTTTGTGCCATGAAACACTCAGTCATCATAACCATTATTTTTGTTTCATTGCCCCTCAATATGGTAACAAGTGTAGCAAGCACACTTAGCATAGAAATAAAATTTTTGAAAACCTTTCGGGATTGCAGATTGAAAAGTGTGCTCATTTCACAATCCTTATTTCCAGCCGATTTGCTCTCGATTTTAGGTGGGCTATCTTTTGGGGTATTGCGGAAGTCGTGGGCTCACCGTGTGTGACCGGGTCACGGTTTTCCCAGGCGAACGGGATGGTGCTTGCGAGCGCCGAAGCGGCTCCAAGCGCTGGCAGGGCAGGTACGACGAGAGCAGGAAGCGCCGTCGTAGCGTGGCGGAGCCCCCTTCGCCTTTGTGCGGTGACGAAGAAGACTACAGCGACGACCAGCATGGCCCCGAGGAAGAGCTGGAGATGGAGGTCACCGAGGAGATGATTGCCTTCTTTGCCCAGAGCGAGAGGCATCGCAGAGAGCTCAGTGAGTTTGCTCTATCTGGGGGCGATTGATCTTTGATGGGTTCTCACGTTAACTTTTTGAGTCCGGGGGATTTTCGTTATGCACGCAGAACGCACATTTTGGTCCCGGTGACACTGTAGCATGCTCTGTGAAGAATGAGCAACCCAGTGATGTGACTGCTGCGCCAACAGGCTAACCTTGCTCTATCCTGCTACATTTTGCCAAAATAGGGGTAATCTGTGTCAAGCCTGTGCCAAAGGACCAATTTCGGTCGCCTTTCAAATCCGAAACTAAACTGAATACCGTAATTGAGCATGCAGGAGCTATACTCTTTTTCACCCCAACTTGTGCACCGGAGGCTCCACCTCTACAGGCCGCGCATTGGCCAGTCACCGTCGCACCACCACGAAGCGCTCCTCCGCCATTTTTGAAACAAATATAAACAAAAAAGTGTCTACAAAGAAAAAGTTCTATACGAGCGTCGTAATCGTGATAATCCAATCATCTTAAATAGGGCTTATGATGTAGCACGTTTTGAGCTATAATTTTTCATATGTCCAAATTTATTGGTGTGATTCTTTTTAAAATACGAATCGCACGCAGTCGCTGCGTGGTGACTGAGGCCCTACTGACTGCGTTCGTTTGTTCACGGAAGAGTGAGTCGTTCACAAACAGAATTGCTTTCTTAATAAATCCAGCACTCCCGACTTGGCTAACATCTTTTCTCAAATAAAACAATTGTACCGTCAAACTGTCCACTTAAACGGCGCAAGACTTGCAGCCTGAGTGTCTATTTCTTTACTTCTGTTGAATTTACGCACGCGTCCGGTTAACTCGGTGACGTCATGTTGTTGTTGTATTCGGGGAATCGAATGCTCGACGCGCTCGGCCCGATTGCGTTCTTCTTCTTCTGCGTGTTCAGATATTTTTTACAACTTTATCGTTCTGTTTTATTATTCAGCGTATTTCCTTTGTGGATATCGTTGAGGTAGTTTCCATGGCTCCATCTCCACCGCCGTCGAGACGTAAGCCAGCCGCCACGACACCAGTAAATTTGTGGAAGAAGCATCGGCAAGGACGCAAGCTCTCGAGCGATTGCAAGCAGATGGTTCTTTCCGTGTATGCCAAGCTGCGAGAACAATACCCGGACAGGTTGAGGAACGACTTATACCAGCTGACGTCTGAGTATACTGGCGTCGGAGCACGGACAGTTGCTGCCATAAAGAAGGAAGCCATCACGAATTCCGGGCTCCTTCGAACTCCAACTGGTAAGCGCCCAAAGTCGGTTGGCACCCGTCGTCGCCTGGTCCAGTACGACTCTTTTGTGCTGTCTGCGTTGCGGTCCTGCGTGCACGGCTTCTTTCGAAGGAACGAAACCCCGACCGTCACGAAGATACGCGAAGCCCTCATTGAAGCGCTGAAGGATGATGAGGTCGCCGTGGAACCGAGTCCATCGACTGTGTACCGTCTTTTGCATGACATTGGGTTCGAGCTGCAGAAGAGGAGTCGCAACTCTCTTCTCATTGAGAAGGACGACATCCTTGTGTGGCGTGCGAAGTACCTCCGCTCGATCCTGAAGTTTCGAGCAGAGGGTAAGGCGATCTATTATCTCGACGAAACGTGGGTCAACGCCGGACACACCGTCAACAAGATCTGGGTCGACACGACGGTGCGTTCTGCCAGAGACGCAGGAAACCGCGGCCTCAGCACCGGTCTCAAAAATCCATCTGGCAAAGGCAGCAGACTGATTGTCACTCACGTTGGGGGTGACCAAGGCTTTGTGGAAGGTTGCCTCGACATTTTTCATGGAGTGAAGTCGGGCGATTACCACGACGAGATGGATGGCAACAGGTTTGAACATTGGTTTGACTTGTTCCTGACCAAGGTAGAGCCAGGAAGCGTTATTGTAATGGATAACGCTTCCTACCACTCAAGACGCGTGGAGTGTGTCCCCACGAAATCTTCAACCAAGAGTGTCATCCAAGAATGGCTAAGCTCAAAGGGAATTGAGTGGGACAAAGACATGCTCAAGGTGGAACTAATTTCTTTAGTCTCCCAAGTGCGACACAAGTTCCTCAGCTACCGAGTGGACACACGTGCTGAAACTGTTGGGTGCACGGTTCTTAGGCTGCCCCCTTATCATTGTGAGCTGAATCCCATTGAGCTTATCTGGGGGCAAGTGAAGAATGAGGTTGCGCGAAGCAACTCGTCTTTCAAACTAAAAGATGTGAAGGTGCTTCTAGAGCAGGCAATCAAGAATGTCACGAAAGACAACTGGACCGCTGCTATACAGCATGTTAAGAAGATGGAAAGGCAGTTCTGGGAGAATGACAGCCTGTCGGACAGAGAGGTTGCACCAATCATCATCGAAATCAATGCCGGAGATGACAGCGACAACTCCTATGAAGATGAAAGCTGCGATGAAGTTGTCTCTGGATCAGGCCAGCCACACATTCCAGGTGTGGAGCCACTTAATATGTAAGCAGTGTGGCAAAGGCGGCTTCGGAAGCCCACTTGAAGCGTTCTCTGAAAACAAGGCGGCCTGCCTGTGTGGGCTGACTCTCGACATCTGGTATGCAACCCTGCCTCTCCGAGAACTGCTGCAGCAACACGACGAGGCGGATTCGGAGGCCCACTTGAAGCGTTCTCTGAAAACAAGGCGGCCTGCCTGTGTTGGCTGACTCTCGACATCTGGTATGCAACCCTGCCTCTCCGAGAACGGCTGCAGCAACACGACGAGGCGGATTCGGAGGCCCACTTGAAGCGTTCTCTGAAAACAAGGCGGCCTGCCTGTGTTGGCTGACTCTCGACATCTGGTATGCAACCCTGCCTCTCCGAGAACTGCTGCAGCAACACGACGAGGCAGCTTCGGAGGCCCACTTGAAGCGTTCTCTGAAAACAAGGCGGCCTGCCTGTGTTGGCTGACTCTCGACATCTGGAATGCAACCCTGCCTCTCCGAGAACTGCTGCAGCAACACGACGAGGCGGCTTCGGAGGCCCACTTGAAGAGTTCTCCGAAAACAAGGCGGCCTGCCTGTGTGGGCTGACTCCCGACATCTGGTATGCAACCCTGCCTCTCCGAGAACGGCTGTAGCGACACGACGAGGCGGCTTCGGAAGCCTACGTGAAGCCTTCTCTGAAAGCAAGGCGGCCTGTCTGTGTGGGCTGACTCCTGACATCTGGTATGCAACCCTGCCTCTCCGAGAACGGCTGCAGCAACACGACGAGGCGGCTTCGGAGGCCCACTTGAAGCCTTCTCTGAAAGCAAGGCGGCCTGTCTGTGTGGGCTGACTCCCGACATCTGGTATGCAACCCTGCCTCTCCGAGAACGGCTGCAGCAACACGACGAGGCGGATTCGGAGGCCCACTTGAAGCGTTCTCTGAAAACAAGGTGGCCTGCCTGTGTTGGCTGACTCTCGACATCTGGTATGCAACCCTGCCTCTCCGAGAACTGCTGCAGCAACACGACGAGGCGGCTTCGGAGGCCCACTTGAAGCGTTCTCTGAAAACAAGGCGGCCTGCCTGTGTTGGCTGACTCTCGACATCTGGTATGCAACCCTGCCTCTCCGAGAACTGCTGCAGCAACACGACGAGGCGGCTTCGGAGGCCCACTTGAAGAGTTCTCCGAAAACAAGGCGGCCTGCCTGTGTGGGCTGACTCCCGACATCTGGTATGCAACCCTGCCTCTCCGAGAACGGCTGCAGCAACACGACGAGGCGGCTTCGGAAGCCTACGTGAAGCCTTCACTGAAAACAAGGCGGCCTGCCTGTGTGGACTGACTCCCGATATCTGGTATGCAACCCTGCCTCTCCGAGAACGGCTGCAGCAACACGACGAGGCGGCTTCGGAAGCCTACGTGAAGCCTTCACTGAAAACAAGGCGGCCTGCCTGTGTGGGCTGACTCCCGATATCTGGTATGCAACCCTGCCTCTCCGAGAACTGCTGCAGCAACACGACGAGGCGGCTTCGGAGGCCCACTTGAAGAGTTCTCCGAAAACAAGGCGGCCTGCCTGTGTGGGCTGACTCCCGACATCTGGTATGCAACCCTGCCTCTCCGAGAACGGCTGCAGCAACACAACGAGGCGGCTTCGGAAACCTACGTGAAGCCTTCTCTGAAAGCAAGGCGGCCTGTCTGTGTGGGCTGACTCCCGACATCTGGTATGCAACCCTGCCTCTCCGAGAACGGCTGCAGCAACACGACAAGGCGGCTTCGGAAGCCTACGTGAAGCCTTCATTTAAAACAAGGCGGCCTGCCTGTGTGGGCTGACTTCCAATATCTGGTATGCAACCCTGCCTCTCCGAGAACGGCTGCAGCAACACGACGAGGCGGCTTCGGAAGCCTACGTGAAGCCCTCTCCGAAAGCAAGGCGGCCTGTCTGTGTGGGCTGACTCCCGACATCTGGTATGCAACCCTGCCTCTCCGAGAACGGCTGCAGCAACACGACGAGGCGGCTTCGGAGGCCCACTTGAAGAGTTCTCCGAAAACAAGGCGGCCTGCCTGTGTGGGCTGACTCCCGACATCTGGTATGCAACCCTGCCTCTCCGAGAACGGCTGCAGCAACACGACGAGGCGGCATCCGGAAACCTACGTGAAGCCTTCTCTGAAAGCAAGGCGGCCTGTCTGTGTGGGCTGACTCCCGACATCTGGTATGCAACCCTGCCTCTCCGAGAACGGCTGCAGCAACACGACGAGGCGGCTTCGGAAGCCTACGTGAAGGCTTCACTGAAAACAAGGCGGCCTGCCTGTGTGGGCTGACTCCCGATATCTGGTATGCAACCCTGCCTCTCCGAGAACGGCTGCAGCAACACGACGAGGCGGATTCGGAGGCCCACTTGAAGCGTTCTCTGAAAACGAGGCGGCCTGCCTGTGTTGGCTGACTCTCGACATCTGGTATGCAACCCTGCCTCTCCGAGAACTGCTGCAGCAACACGACGAGGCGGCTTCGGAGGCCCACTTGAAGAGTTCTCCGAAAACAAGGCGGCCTGCCTGTGTGGGCTGACTCTCGACATCTGGTATGCAA